AACCTCAGGAGGTATGAGAAAATATTGAAAAAGAAATTTGAAAAAAAACCTGATGTTTGGAAGGTTTTCAACTAAATAAAATTATCTTCGCTGTTTACAGCCTTCTGGTAATGAGGGCATTGCAGTGCCTTCTGGTTATTAAACTTGAAGATGTTTCCCTGGTGGCCACATTTTTCATGGGGACAGAGGAATCAAGAAGAGGTTGTTGGAAAAATGTTTTCAAAATCCAGAATGAGCAGAAATCAAAGTGGACAAGGGGCTGTCATTTGTGCTGCTTCAAAGAGGTTGCTCCGACACAACAGCTGGTACTGAACAGATATTCAACCCACCCAATTCCTCTAGCTGAATTCTTGAAAGAGCATTTTGAAAGCCTCCCTTCCTCATAAGGATTTAGTTTCCATAATTGAGAGAATTTTCTTGAATACCCCACGGTTTTTACCCCTATAGAAGTCACATGTAAAGAATGCTGAACATTCAAAGCCTCGTCTGAAATCAGTCGTTTTGACTCTGTCTCAAGTAGGATAACTTTTTCTCTTCTGATCAGCTAGAATTATTTAGGCTGAGATTCTCAAAACTGCTGAAGCAGCTTAGGCATGCTCTTCCTACTGAAGATTAATGGGTCATATGTTTTCAGACAGAAATTCAACAACATGGGAAGATCCAGTCTCCAGCATGAAGTGGGACGACTATAATCCTATACAAATGGACTCTGGCAGCAGTAAAAGCCCACAACTGCTGTTTTGCTGGGTTCCAACAGATGCAGAATTTATGTGAAGTTTGTACCTTCAAGCACATGGAAGTAAATCAAGCCCAGATATTGAGATCTCTCTCTGTCTCCTATGTATGTGTTCAGGAATATGTTTGAATGTTCTTTTCCAAAACACAGCATATTTAAAATCAAGTCTTTCCCACACATACATTCACATTGTCAAAATTAATCTTCACATTGATTATTTTAATTGGTTGAATATGTTTTAAGAGGTGGGGAAGAGTGGGATTTGCAATATTTTCCTGCTCCCCTCTTGGGCATACTTGTGAGTCCACATATGCAAACACCTTCCTCTCATGGTCTCTTTCCTGGGATTCCTGAAACACACTCAACAGCTTTGCAAAAATGTTTAGCAATCTCAGTTGCAGCTGGACTGTTGTGACGACGGCAGCTGCTAGGTGAAGGATGGAGAAGTTTTTCTTGGCGTCATTGCCAAGGGTATTAGGACAGGCTATCTGCAGATGTTGAAACTTGATTTGGGTGGAAGAGTAATTTCCTATTAGTATTATTACTAGGGATGGGCAGGTTCACATTGCCTGAATGGGCTCAGACCCAGTAAGCTTGAAAGTTCACTAAATATTCACATTATTTATTTTGAGTATCTCTGGAAAAGGAGGGGTTTTTTGTCAGAAAAAAAAAAAAGGCAACAAAATCTCTAGTGAAAAGACATAATCCAGGGTGGAGGGACCCAATGCAGTGAAACAGAAAATCATAAATAAACGCAGGCCATAGTACGTCAGTTTTCTAAATCTAACTTTCTATAAGTACAGCAGGGATTTTAAGACAAGAACTGATGTCCTACAGCCCTGCTAGGTAACTTTTAAAGAGCCTCTAAGAATTGCAAAATTAGAGGAGAGAATAGCTCTGAAGCAGATGGTTCTTTTGCCAGCCTGTGATTTTTGAAGCTGGTAATATTTTATCTGCTTTACAAGTGGAAAGTTTCTCCCCAGAGTTTAGCAAAGTTAGTAACGGGAGAACATTGCAGGAGATTGCTCTCTTGTGATGGAAAAATATTAATGTTGGTGAGTCTGAAATGCAAATGATAGCTGTGCCACGTGTATAGGTGGCACCTGGATAAGCAGGATTTATTTGCATCAAGGCTTATGTTCAAACACAAAAGAATGCACATTGTGGAAGCTAAGTTTTCAAGCAAAAGTCAGAGTTTGAAGGGGTAAAAAAAGGAGTAGACCCAGTCATGCTTTAGTCATTAGCTTTTAACTTGAAAGTCAACTTTAGAGAAAAATGGTCTGAAGAAGAAGCTATCTCAGCAGGAAAAGGTTGAAAATGGAGCATGACATTTATAAAACAGCCTCTGAGAGAGCAGAAACTCTCCCTCAGACATACCACAGGTTTCCACATTTGTCTCGAGCAAAGTGCAACATGAGGACCACGCGTTTTACAGTTCTAAGCATATTTAATACAATGTTTTTACAACAGCTGTTGCTTTCATAGAACTTTAACCCCACTGTGTAAATGCATCACAGGGAAAATACTCCGTTGTCTTGGAGACAGCCTTTGCTCGCGAGTCCTTTTCCAGCGAGCTGGTGTCAGCTTTCAGCTCCAGCTGCATTCCAGGCAGGCAGGCACATCCCGGCCTCTCTCTCTCCTCTGTTCATTATTGGCCCCGCTGAAGGACGGAGGGCTCAGGAATCCAGGACAATTATCGGAGCTTCGTACCCACGGTTTCCATCAGCACACCTGATGAGGAAACGGAAAAAAAAAAAAACCCAAACCAAAAAAACCCCCCCACAAAACAAAACAAAAAAAACCCCCACCTAAATAAGAAAGGGGGGCAGGAGCAGGAGCATGGAATTTGTAAATTATTTTATGACTTTAAATTTTAAAAAAAAATCCCCCTTTTGGTAATGTTTTTTTTTATTGCTGATCAGACCTGGTAGAGAGCCAGGTGTCTTTTTCTTGCTAAATTTAAGCCAATTTATTGTCTTAGTTGAAAAGTGTTATGTTACAGCTGACACTTGGAAGACCATTGGAGATATCATGTGACAGATGCCTCCAGTTAAAGGACTCGGGAAACTTCTCCTGTCTTTGAGAAAGGTGATACCAGCTAGTGCCTTGACCTCTCCAACTCTCTAACATGTGTGCCCACTTCTACAGGTAGTACACAGCAAACACTGCCCTCATTACTTGTTTGCAGACACAGCCCAAAAATATGTTCTAAAGCTCTGTCTTCAAAGCTGGATATATAAAAAATAAATTATTGGAAAGCTTTCTTAACCCCAGAATATGTGTTTTCATCTCAGTTTTAGACATATGAATGTGCTTAAGGTGGCTATGCTCTATGCATGAATAAAAACAGTAAAAAATGATGCTACAAACTTCACATATCACCACCAAGTATTGAAGAGATTTTTCAAATGGTGTAGCTGGAACTAATCCTGCAAAGCACTGAATGCCCTTAAGTGTAATTAATGTTGAAAGGGCTTAGGTCTCCCAAAAGAATACTAAAGATCTTAAAGAACTAAGGCCCAAAATCTATTAATCTCTGTGTAAACAGCAAGGTGTAGCCATACCTTTGGCTACCTTTCAGTCACACTGCTTTCCTTCATGTATAAGCACAGCTTAACTTCCACTATATGTGTGCTCTTGTGTTTGGACATAAGCTGCTGCAAGTGGTATGTGGTGTAAAGCTAATGCATATCTAAAAAGTACCTATTGTTTGTCCCTGGACATCCTCATTAATGCCCAAATCCAGAATGCAGCCCTGTCTAGGGCAACATTTAATTGCAGTCTTTGGTAGAAACATGCATTTCAGATCCCTTGCTTTAAATTACAATTCCAAGGCATATGTTTAACATTAGGAGGTTTCTTTCCTGAACCAGAGCCAAGAAGATTAGCTGAATGTTTTTTCTAAAGGTTTGAAAGTAAAAATTCCTTGTGTCAGACCAGTTTTGTGAGCAAAGATCTGAGGGACCCTTTCATAACATCAACAATGCTTGACTGGAGTAAAAGCAGTAAGGTCCAAAATTTTGTCCTCTCTGAAACAGAATAGCCTTCAACAAAGGTAAGAGTTTTGGCTGCTAAACAAAATTAGGATGGAATCTAGAACTGGACCTGTAAATAAGCTCAATTCAGACAAAGGAAAATTAGAGCTGTGTAGCATTAAAACAAGGAAGATGTCATTGAAGAGCTGGGGATCCTACAGCATTGCAGAAGTCCTTTCCTGAGTTACGCTGGTTTTAAGTTTGTATTTTGCCTTGAGCATGGCACATCTCATTGACTCATACCTGCTGATGCTCACAAAATGTTGGTTGTGAAATGGGGGAAGAGGGAAAGTACCTTCAGCACAGGTCTAACTTAACTGGCACAGACTGAAGCAATGTCTTCCACTCATGGACAGAGGGGCAAGGGGCAGTTCAGTCAGCTCTACCCAAGAAATGTGGGCTCTAGAAATGTCTTGGCTCTAACAAACGTGCTGCTCTTACAGTGCTCCTATTCTGCCAGTAAGGAATTTGCCTGGGGTGGGCAGTCAGAGCAGCAAGTACAACTGCAAGTACTGTAGAGCATGGCTTCACCATCCCCAGAGGCTAGGGAGCTGGGCTTTCTACTCATCTCTTTGCTCCTCCCCAAGAAGGGGTTTGAGAACCCTTGGTGTGGTACCTTATTCCTGTCCATCTCTGATGCTTTTGTCCCAGAGGCACACCAGCAAATAAAGGAAGATAAGATCCTAGATTTACATCTTCCTTAATTTTCTCTTTTTTCTCCTCATTCTGCTGGCACCAACAAGGAACAGTGAAGAGTCATGATTGATTTTCCTGAAAAATCAATGACCAGTGATCATGATTATTTTTCTGATGCATACAGAGCCACAGTCTGAGGCCCAAAAAGTAAGAGTAAGCAGAAGGTGTTAGCTAAGAAGTGTAGCAGATTTTTAGCATAGAAAAAAGCTAGAAGAATGGAGACAAAGATGCAAGGCAAATGTACCCCGACAGAAGTGAAGAGGATAAAGCCTCTTGGAAGGTGTGTGCATATCTGTCCACAATCTAAAATAACATGCCACATTCTGCAAGTGTCACATGCCTGCCCTGAAGAGAGGGGTTGATTAGGAAACTGAACTGGCAAGTGCTGTCAGGCAAAAGCATACTGAGGAGAGCCACTCTGATCTGAGTCACAGCAGAATTAGCACACACTTGACATTTGTGTGTATAGCTTTCCTGTAAGGGAGAAGATTCTCTGACTTCAGTATCACATACATGTTTGAACTGTGCCACCTCTGACTTGGAAAGTACACAATCTTTCTGAGTTTGTGCTGCCAGCTGCAATTTTTAAAATGTTTTGCTTGTTTGTTTTTGGGTTTTTGGTTTGTTTTTTTTGTTTGTTTGTTTGTTTGTTTTGTTTTGCTTCTGGACATTCAAAAGTGCACCAAAGAGTTATACACTAAACAGGCAGAAGGTTGCAAAGGCAGCTGCAAAAATTAATGTGATGCTTCTGTTGCTTCCAGGTAATACTAAGCCAAGGTGAGCAATTAGAAATATATAGTACCTAATCACATCCATTTTGTTTTTGTAAAAGGGCAATCCTTATCTGGGTTCAAATGAAAACATGCATGTGAAGGGCTTGTATCCAATCACAGACTATACAATCTGACATATTTCCAGTCGATGTGAAGCAACCCAGCTGGAACACTGAGGCTCTGAATGTTCCCAAATATGCAGGGAGACAGGATAATTAATAAATGCATTAGCCATAAGCTTGGCTCAGTTCAAGGTATTATATTTCAAAATAGACTTAGGGATTTTTTGTGGTTTAAAACTGACTGAAGTGAGATGGTTGTGATATATGTAATGCTAACTCTGACATATAATATTTTTTACAGATTGCATTCCTGCATTTGTATGTTGTTAGAAGCAAAGATGTCCCATTATTTTCAAGATGGAAATACTTCAATGTCAGAGTTATATTCTTGGAATTTCATCTTGGACTTTCACGATGTTTAACTGGTATTTATTTTATCTGTGTTTGCGACCTCTGATATCTACAGTTTCTTATCCTCCATGTCTGATGTCTTTGTAATTTTTGGGTGCAGTTGCAAACACCTAAAAATCTATGATAAAATGTTCAAGACAGAACATCTAACCCCATATTATCAGTCAACATTTTTTCTTTGGTTCTTTCTTTCTGGACTCCAGAAAGAAAAACAGGTGTGTATAGTTCATTATATGAAATCACTGGTAAACAATACTGAGCTTTTTCCATCCCTTAGCAAAATATCAAACTAATAAGAGAAAAAAATTTGAACCCTAGTGTATGCTGAAGCAATGCTATGCTATTTTTGTGATAATATTTTTCAATGAGATAAGACAAAAATCCTCATCTTTGAAACGAGAAGTTGCATCAAAACTTTCCCAGCCAAGTAGCTAGGTTTGAGCAACGAAAGAAAAACTGCAGCAGGCTGTATGTCCCATTGTAAGGTCTCAAAGTGCGTCACTGCATCTCACACCCTTGTCCAGGCTCCAACCAGGAGTGAGTCTTCAAGTGCCGTCGTCCTTGCTGGTTCTGCAGCAGCCTGGGTCAGGCAGAGCAGCCTGCCCTGGGGGAAGTGTCCCCTGCGAGCTGGAGCCACAGGAGGAATCATTCAGTAGTTACAGCCTTCTTTCCTGATGCCTCTCCTGACAGACCAGTTAACTAAACTCCTAGTTAATATGTAAGACTCTTCCTGTTTGACAGTGTGACAGAGCTGTATTTTATTAGGGATCGATAAAAGATTATTTCGGTAACCTTTTCTGAGGATACGCCTTTCAGGTTAAAAAAAAAGAAACTTTTGCATTTTCTGGCATGATAGCCATTAATATCAGATGAGATAAAGTGTGACAAGGTGCATTCCAGTAAAAAGCTTTCTCTTTTGAAACCTATGAACGAGTGAAAAATAAATAAATTTATTTTCTGCAGAGGAACCACCTGCAGAAGTGATAAGTCAAATTTGATGCATCACTTCTCTGTTTTTTTGACTCAGTGATCTCAGAGGTCTTTTCTAACTTAAATGAGTCTGTAATCCTGTGATTCATTGGACCAGTTGCTGAAATTCTTGTGCCCTATCACCTGCTACTGGTGACAAATCCATCATCAGCTGGCAGATATTTGGGAAATAGGTGGAACTCAGAATGAAGTAATTCACACCTGCAGGTTTTTAGAAACAGTCTTACTGATGTTGGTCAGTCTAGGGAGCACAAATGTAGGAAGAGATTCGTTGTTATGTGGGTATTTCAAAAAGATTTTTTCTTTACTTAAGCAAAATGAATACTTAGATCAGTAGAATCAGAAACAAAATTCTTTTCATGAAATGAATAATTTTTATGAGTTTTCATACTTTTTAGTAATATAAAATATCAAAATACCATGTGTTATCATTTGTAATCATTTAAAGAACATCAGGTGAAATGTTTAACACACAAACAGTCTCTCGGGTGAATTTAATGCAGCTTCAAGAAGCAATAACATTGTTTTTTTCAGCAAAAATACCATTAGATACAATATATTCCCCTTTTCCAAATTAATTCTCCACCAATCAGGGCCCATCAGTAACACAGACTCAAGTTGAGCACTTGTTAGAGCCTGTGGGACCCTTGCCAGAGCTGGGATTCCAAGATTGATCCCTCAGGGAAGTATTGCAACAATGGTGCTGTACTGAAAGACTTTTGAAGGACAAAAAAAAACCAAAAAACCACCAACCATGGGAATCCCTCCAGGTACTTCTTGTAATTAAATACAAATTCAGTATCATTTTAAAAAGCAAAGAAATAATTACCTTCATTGTTTCATTTGGAATGCTGAAAAAAGCCCAAAACATCCTGGTTTTCAGCAAACTCCCCAAGTGTGCTGAGGAATGTGCAATACCTACTTAGCTGGTCTGGCTGGAACTACAGCTGAACACTGGCTGTGTCTTCTGACGGTCACAGAGGTGGAAAGAGCATGTCCAATGGGCAGTTCAGTCACATGCAGACTAGCCATAGGTCCTGAAATAAATGGGCAGGAGATCTTTCGCCTTTTTTAATGCCTTTATTAAGAAGAATCAGCTCAGGTGGGGAGAAATCGACGGGTCGCGCCCACACCGCCGCTGCTCCCAGGCGTGACAGGAAGGAGGAGGATGACGCAGCTGTGTCCCCTGGTCTGCAGACAGAGCTGGGGATTCTGTCCTCACGGGAGATTAGCAGATCCCTGGCTTTTCGGTCCAACACCCCGGGTCATCTCTCTAGTCAACATCTTTTATGAAATAAATGGGCAGGAGATCTTTCTCCTTTTTTAATGCCTTTATTAAGAAGAATCAGCTCGGGTGGGGAGAAATCGACGGGTTGCACTCACACCGCCGCTGCTCCCAGGTGTGGCAGGAAGAAGGAGGATGATGCATCTTTGTCCACTGGTCTGCAGACAGAGCTGCCCATAGCTCCACCTCACCCTTTCCTGCATTATTTACACACCAAATGGTTTTTCAGTCTTTGGAAGAATTTGAGGTCTAGCACAGGTAGTGGTAAATGTAGTGAAATGACTGCCCTCAACAAAACCCTGTTCTACAAAAAACAGGTGTGTCTGATTTCCCTTCTTCAAGCACCTCTCTGACCTGGACTTCCATACAAGTACAAAGTTGTTTTGGGAAACAATTTGCATCAGAGTACATGAAATTCACGTTAAATAGCATTTCTTTTTATTTAACATATGCACTACATACTAAGCATATGCTGATTAATGATTTCTGGGTTTGTCAGTATCTGTCACTAGTATATTATTGTGGAACCAAAGCAGTGAGGAGATCATCAGTCTCCTGAAATTATGTACAGCTCAGCAGTTCTGATTTTTCTCATTAGTTCCTATTTGCAGCAGCATAAATGTCTGGCCCACGGAAGGAGCTGCTCTCTAGTTCCACTAAGTAATATTAGTTGTTTGGTTTAGTTAAGAGAGTGCCTTTAAGGAAGTTTCCCAATCACTCCAACACATGGAGTTTCAGATCACTGACTGGTCTCAGGGCACAAAAAGTACATTCCCTTACAGTTAAACTAAACCAGAGAACATCACTTAACAGCCTGTTGACTGTATTCTCCTTGCTAATGGACATGTAGCACAAACCAGAACAGAGCTACTCTGAAACAAAACTCCTGAAACACATCCGTGGTGAATGTCGTCTCTGCAGCGCTGCTCATATTCTACTCTAGAAGTTGCTCACTTACTAGGTACACAGGTGTCAGGTTCACTGACATTAGTGAAATGTGTGATTTTCTGCACTTCCATCCATCATGGTGTCAAGAGTTCACATTGTATCCACACAGGGTTATTGTAGATCATTCTTGATATGACTATATTTAAAGATGCTAATTTTTTTTCCCTAGGAGGATTCTTTATTTGTTCCCTTTGTCACAATGACCTTGCAACGTGACAGGTGTGCTCAGCTCCTACCACCTCAGACTTTTGCTCTGTGTGGCTTTACCTACTCTTTTGGCTCTGAATTCTCTTACAGACTGCATTCAATAACAGCTTAAAGATAACAACTGGATAATAAAAGCAAGTGAACCTGCCAATAGATTAATAAAAAATACAAAAACACTGTACAGAATATTCCACCATCTCTTCACTTCAGGCAATCATTTCTCAACTATCCTCAAACTGTTGACAGTCTTTTCTGCTGTATTTGCTTATACAAAATGTGCCCAGCAGCCAGTTATCTCCTTTTACCTCCTGGGAACCAAAACATTTTTTTCTTTTAGCAAAAGTTTTGTTAGGATACAGCCCAATCTTCCCTAGTAGCTGAAGAGATGTATACATCTCCTTTGTAAAAGCACAGCAAAGAGATCACCCCTGTCCGTCATCAATGACTTGAAAGTGCCAAATGTTCTCCTAAGCTAGCACTTGGTTTTTGCTAAGCCATGCAGTTGTGTTAGAGAGTGTTCTGTGTAATCCATGACTTAACGACATGGAGCCTTGACTTTTGAATTAGGACCTTGTTATTACAGTCCTATTGTTAACCACACGTGGCAGCATTAGAGAGATGCTATTGTGTATTCTGACTTTGTTAGGAGATCTAAACCCTGCCTTTGATGTTGTGGGGTGATAAAAAGTATACAAAAGCTTGAAATGCAAATACATTAATCTATATATTGCTCAGAGGATTTAACAGCTTTTGTAGGTCCCAGAGAATAAAACAAGTTGTCTTATGTGCTGCAGTCATTATTGCCTCAGTTTATGATGCCCTTAGTTTAAAATGCTTAAGAGGGAGATGCACTGAGATTAAAAAATGTGTTATTTTTACTCAGTCCTTTATATTAAAGGTTAAATTTCAACAGCCTAGTCTTGTGGAGATTGATAGTTCCATCACATTGTTACAAATATTTTAGTACAAAATTACACTTTCACTACAAACAAAATATGCAGCTACTGAATCTTCTTTCAAACAAGCGAACTAAACTTTACAAAAAGGAAAATCTTTTTACATCTGGGAAGTGATCTGGAATGAAATGGCAAATACAGAGTGGTTAAGCCTGTAATTTCATATATTTTCTTACTTTATACTAAATGTTGTTTGAACTATAGTACTATGCAGGCTTGATTTACACCTAAAGTTAGGAATGTGCTCACAAGCTACTGTTCTTTATGTATGGCTTTTGGCCCTGGCAGAAAGCATCTGTTTCACATGGCAGAAAATTGTAATCAAATTGACTTGGTTTAAATTAGTTCATTATGTGCTAAGTAGTGTTTTGGAGCTGTGGGTGTCATTGAAATGTTTTTCTTGTCTGTAGAAAACTAGGAAATTACCTAAAGTAAAGGTGGAAAATATTAACTAGTGCCAACAGCACTTGAAAAGAATGGCTGGAGGTGTCAGGTCTTCACTACATGAATCATGTCAGATTAGTAGCTGCCTTTCCTTTCCGGAAGTCCACCTGTAATGGAGGAGTTTTGATGAGAAATAGATTTAAAAAATATGTGAAAGATAAATGAGAATATGAGTTGCACTTCATGTAACCACAAGATTTAACAAACACTGTTAGGTCCACAGCAAATTGTAACTTAATCCCACTGATTTCTTGGGACTCCTGAAGAAATTCAAGTAAAAAGGACATTCCTGAAGGAAATACTATTGTAATCAGCATTTCAGCAGTTCTTCTAAAAGTGTTTTGCTGTTATATGGGATATATGGTTTTTAATGAAAATCTGCTTTACAAAAAGTGCACTTCAGTGGTTTGAGTGGGAGCTCAGAGGTTTTCTGCTTTCATGCCATACCATCCAGGAGACATGGAGAAGTGATGACTGTGGCTCTTCCAAGGAGACAGGAAATCGGATTGTGAGCAATCTCACAGCATGAACACCAAGTCTCTGATGTCTGACCACTAACAAGTCATACATCAGGACATTTCCAGACACTGGAAACTCACCCTACGCAAGTGAGCCAGCTGGCCAGCTATCTGAGTGATGTGCTGAAAAACATGTGTTGTCACACTGATGAAGGAAAATAAAACCAAATCCAAGTTTAAAGATTGAGGCATCTATTTTTCTTTTCTAATTTTCACCTTAAAACATTTCAGTCTGAAGCCAATAAATGTTATCCACAGAAAAGCATGGCTATTGAGCAGCAACCTTTTGTCCAGGCCACAGTTCCTCTTCAGAAGAGATTGTAAAGCAATTACATATGAGCTTTTGGGCTACCAGGATGCAGAACAAAAGCTGGTACTGATTTCTTCTCTCTCTCAAAGCTGTTACTTCATCATAACTAGTGCCACTATTTATTTATGTCCCCAGACACACCAACCATGACTCTCATCAGCTCTCTGCTGCCTTTTTGAACACCCTCTCTGCTAACTTTCTGCAGCCAAAGCTGGTCCCTCCTCTACTTTAAGTCAGTAAAACCTCCCACCTACCCCCCAAAAAAAATTAAAAAATATCTTTAGCATCAACAGGAAGGACCCTAATGGCAGAGGACATTGTTTTGCCACCTAATAAAGCCTTGTAGTGCGGCATGCAGAGCTGTCTCTGAAGCATGAGAGGGGTGTAATGTATTTGGAAAGCACATACAAGGGAAAGCAAAATGCTTAGGTTGGCATAGCAGTAGTCTTAGCAAAAGGATTAGGAGGGCTGTGACTCTGGCACAGAAAGAAGAGAGCTGGGATATGATATCATACATCTACAAAATCATAAAGTGAATAACTACAAAATCATTAGTGAATAACTTGGATGTGAGGATCCTGTCCAGTCAATCTCACATTTCTAGAACTAGAGGACACTCCATGACATTAATGGATCACCTTATGTCAGATGTAAAGGTACTCATTTACAGAGCAGACAGTGAAATTCTGGAACTTTCTGCTGGAGGAGGGTGAGAAGGCAGGTAGGACCAGCAAGGCCTCAAAGAATAGGAGAAATTTATGTGCAGTACCAGTAATCTCTATATGAACACTAAGAAGACAAGGCAGGGATATATCCTGTCTCACCCCTTGGTGATGCTGGGAAAGAAGAAGATGAATGGCTCCAAAGTGTCCAGGCTCACAAACTCTCCTCCAAAATAGGACCTTCCCTTGTGGATAAACATCTTGAAAATTGTCCTGAAGCTGTACAGAGGTTACCAGCATTTAGGAGAATCCTTGAAATGTTTCATCTGTAACACAGGTTGCAACACAAAAATCAATAGCAGAGGCTAGAGCTTTCTAGGGCATAGGTGGAAATTAATCTTTTTTCTTGGAATTATTTCCCTTTTCAAAATTGCGACAAGTATTCTTGTTATGCAGTGTCTCTGAAAGAGAACTGTTTTTCTGCTCCTGCGGAGACATGGCTTTGGTCATACCCCAAAGATACTTTTGTGTTAATACAGTGCCACAATTGTCATTGTACTTCACATATCTCTGATAGTAAAACACATTGAATTCACTAATTTATTTTTTAATCTTGGATATTAAATATTTAAGTGTTTGGTTTTAGAAAGAGCTATTGCAACCTTTCAGCCTCATACTGCAATAAGGAAATAAAGCAAAGCTTTCTAATATTTCCTGTCCCTAGATGCCTGACAATCTTCAGTCCTTACTTATCATGGACACAGGATTCAGAAAGGAGTATATAAATAAGATATGAATTCTGATTTTTCTAAGATGTGTACATTTTTTTACATACATGGATTTGAAATTTGAGTATATCATCAGTGGGACTGAGATATTGAAAGAGAAAAGATTTGGTGGCATTCAAAATTTGCTGTTCACACAGCTTTGACTATGCCCAGTTTTGATCCTTATGTTGGCAATAAGGTGTTTATAATTGGAAAACAGTCTTTGACTGTAGAGGACTGATTAGTAATTTCCCTTTTACACTGGATCCCTGACTCTTGAACTGACTGACATACCTGCAAGACTAGATCTCAAATCACTTAGCTCCACATGCATTTTAGAAGTCCTATATTTCAGTTCTGGTATGTAAACATTTGTCAGACCCGTTTATCCTATGGCCTCCCACCCTCCCCCACTCCCCCCCCCCTTTTTTTTTCCTAACAGATTGGATTACTGCAGTATAGTCTGCAATAACTGGTATGGTTTATGTTTAGCACTATGCCTTCTCCCCTTCTTCATGTTTATGGCATTGCTTTTGCTCTTAAACAGCAAAGAACACTACCCTTAGACCAGGCCTGTGTTCTAATCTCAGAGTAGAGTTTCTAGACGCAGTACTGTCTGGAGCAACAGGCCTTCTCATGTGCATTAGGATACCTCTGAAAGTGCAGGCAGTAAGCTGTGGGCTTACTGAGGGCATGCCCATGTCAGTGTGACCACATGGGCTTATTCATTAATAAACAGCAGCTATATCAGTAATAATATCAGTAATAATGGGAGTGTTCAAGAAAGGACACTTGAATTAAGGCTCTTACCTACCTACCTACCCACCTACACGTTTGCAGCCAGTGCTGGAGGAGACTGAGGTTCACAGATCTGCTGTGGGTGCACACATGAGGTCACATCTATGTATCTCACCCTTAGCCCCACACCCAAAGACTGCCTATGCAGCTCCCTTGCTCTCTAGGTGGAAAACTAGGGATCTACAGATACTCCAGAGAGACACAGAAGACACTTAACTATTATACAGTTGCTAGTGTTAAATACAGGGCTAAGGGTTTGGAGAGCTGAAGGTCTGTGAGGTGGACATAGGTGCATAGGAGTAGGGACACACACTTCTACAGGCCCTTCATAAAATACTTCTTGTCTTAAAGTTTATGGTTTGGGAAAAGTTATAGCAAAATCTTGGTGTTATTTTGTTTGTAGCAGAGATGCCTTGTGAAATCCATTTTTTTAAATGATGGACAACATCTGAGATTTTCTGTATGAAAACAGTTCAGAGGAGCAGACCTTCAGGTATTTTCAAGACAACTGAGCAAAGGTTAATTTCATTTACTCTGTGCGATGGGTGCATGTCATAATCTTACTTCTGTGTACTTTTTGGGATCCTGGAAACTTTGTCAACAGCAAATCAAAGACCTTGTCACAGATTTTAAATAAATGTATAAACTCTCAGCTTTAGCATGGTTTTTCCTTGATGCCTTTCAGGATAAGCAGTAAACTAAATACTAATTATACAAAAATCACATTTTGTTGCCAGGTAACTTATTCTGTTTTCACTGGAATAACATTAAAAGTCTGGAAGATATTTAACTAAGATTGAAATCAGACCCTAGTACCTGATGAATGGCCCTCAATATTGTGCCAGCCTTGATTTCCCAGCATTAGGTGCTGGACAGCTGTAGGTAAAGTGCAGCTGAAGGATAATTGTTATAAGACACAATAAGGTCAACATAATTTAAACAGAGTAGCTTTTCCCATCACAGTTTACAGCCTTGGAATAAGTGGAATGACATGGAAGTGATGTCCACAAGGAAGGGGAATTCAATCCTTTCTGACTCAGAGTACCATATATAAAACTCCTCTCCAAAAGCTACTGATGTTTCAGCACTGAAGGTCACTCCAGCTACTAAAGAAATGCATTATTTAAAGAAAGAGAGCGATAAGATGGATGTGAGAGGTTTGCATTTGTTTTGCTTGCGACAGAAACTTCTTACGTGACCTAGAGAAACTTTTCTTTATGTTGTGTTTCAGAGTAACACTTGCCTGGATTGAAGGCAGCACTCACAGACCAGGTGCAGGAGCTGGTGGGCTTGATCAGCTAACTGATTATGGCTCAATCAGCTCTACAATGGGAGAGATGTAACCCCGTCAACCATTGTGCCTCATTATTCAGAGCTCTGAATATATCCTCAACTTGGCTATTCTGATGGTAGCAATGCAAAAATAAGCAAATCAAACTAAAGTAATTTGTACTAGGTTTTTTTCTTTTTTTTCTTACATGTTGTGTCTGTGTGAACCACTGGATCCTGCCCATTCCCTACTTTAGCTGGGACTTGTGTATGTATTTCAGCTGCATTAGGCTGAAAAAACTAACTCAGGATCTCCATTCCAACTGCAATTGAGTGTCGAAACGCCTTGGGACAAAATTATATTAAAAGTAGGAGTAAGAGCAGCATAAGAACTGCAGGAACTAAGGCAGCTACCTACCTCCCAGTACCTTTTCTCACAATAGAAGGGACAAGAGGCAGTTTGTAGGAATACAAAAGTTTACTGAAGAATTTTCCTTCATTCCCAAAACACTAAACTGAGAAACAGCAACTTAGAACAGAGCAATGCTGAACAGCCACATCTCTTGGGCATTAAAATAAAAAATTAATATTAACCCCTACAAGGGAGCAAGAAGATTTTTTGAGATTTATGCAACAATTTCCTCTTTTAAATAGAAGGATGTACTTCCAATTTGATGGTTTACCTTGTGGCACATTATGAAAACAGCCTTATTTCCTGTTTGGTAAGCAAACACAGAAAAAAATAATATGGTCTTTGAGGGCTGAACTTTGTTATTCTGAGTGTGAAGATTTGTCAAAGAAGATGGAATAAGCACTCTTCAGCTTCATGGATTTCTTCCTTGCTAGCAGCTGGCCAGTCACAGGTGCCAGCAAAAACCTCACCAACCACTGAAATGTACTGGGAAGGGCTTGGTTTTTTTATCACCACATTCACAGAGTTCCTAATTTGTTCTGGTTTAAAGTGCTCCTTGTACATACAGTGAAAATAAAAAGAGCTACAGAAGGAACATGAATAGATACAGAAGAACTTATTTGCAAATACAACAGCTAAGGGAACAATTGTGCAACATTCGCGCACAAAAGACAGTGTCTGGGGTAAAATTTAATTGTCATTTCACTTTCTAGCCATGTACAAATAGATTTGTAGCATCTCTGTCCTCTGGTACGTACCAGTGGAGCATGTGGAGAGCTGAAAAAATTTCTAAAATTCTTTTTTAGAAGGTATGGGAGAGTGCCTGGACACTTGGGAAAACATAGGATAAATAATTGAGCAGTTTCATTACTTCTGGGGGACATCCAATAACCTTTGTGATGCCAGCACTTTACCACAGAATTTTCCTGGAAACTGGAAAC